CTTCAGAGTTTAATAATTATTTATCTGTCCTTGTTGAGATAGCTAAAGTAAGATGTAGACAATGTGTTCAACATTCATCAGCAGTATAAGAGGACTATGACACAATTTCTTCTAATTCTGATATGATACTTTACCTCCACTTGTTATATTTTGAACACTTGATCTCCTTTTCTGGGCCCATTCTCAACACATTCAGCTTATTGCTTGTTACATCCTTGTTGCAGATTGGCTTTCTCATCCGTACAAAGTTCTACTGAGGAAGTGGTATCTTGCTCCTCAGGTGTTCCAATGGCTATGCTCCCAATTGGGTACCCTCCTTCTGTATGCATTTGGCACCCACCTCAACACCAAACTTCCTCAATTCTGGTCACCTGTTCCACATCCTTGTGGTGTATGTGTTAAGCCAGGATTGGCCCGATCTTTATCTGTATGCCTACTCTCCTATCTGTCTTCTTACCCAAGTTCTGTCACTTATTCAAACCACTCTGTGTCTGGTTCTACTCATTGCTCTATTCTGGCCAGCCCAGCCATGATTTCCACTCTTGAACCTTCTCCAGCAACCTCATTTTTCCCTTGCTTATCCAGCGATACCCACGCATGAGTTTTGTCTGGTCTCTTGTGAGGAGCTCCAGACTCTTTGTTGGTAGCCTTCCTTCTTTCTCATTATGTTTGTTCTTATTTGCTTCTTTATCAGCATAAATGGCACATTTCTTTTCTTAGTCACTTTGTCATGGCATCTCCCCTTCCTAACTGACTGTTCCCCATCCTTCTGACTTTTTCCCTTGGCTCTTTGACAATGGTTTATCCATTTCTACCATTGTAGGCTATAAGGTGGCATTATCCAATACTTTTCATTTTTCCCATTCTCATGTTTTGATCCTTTTGCCCTCTGATCCTAGTTAAATAAACCAAGAATGGCCTGCTATTAAAAGTAAGGTTTTCGTAGTCACCCATTGCACAGTATTAAGGTGTTGCGTTCCTCTAGACTCTGCAGCACATTTTTTCCCTACCTCTTCTAGTGGAGTACAGGAGTCCTTGCCACTTACCAGTTCCTAGTCACTGGGGTGGTGGACCATGGAGGCTTCCTCCTGAGTGAGACCACTTCCACTCAGTATAAAGTAGAGTGGTGGTATTCTGTTGGTGGAGATGATGTCTACTCTCCTCCTACTGCACACCAGAAGACACATACTCGATCCTGCCTGGTTTTGGAGTGGACGGACCCACCACATGCAGTTCAACTCTTCAGTTGGCTTTTCCCTCATTGTACTGGCACCTGAATGCCAGATCCCAGGCAGTCTGGTATTGGATTAGTGCAGAACCTGTGAGATAGCAATTCTATTTGTTTTTTACAGTTATGGTTTTGTTTATCATTCATTTACTATTTCCTCCTGTCATTTAGTTTATTTATGTAATTTTAGTTGCATTAAAATGCTAACTCACCTGCTAGCTAATCTTGTTTTTTTTGAGTAAATATACGTGTATGATGAAACTGACACCAGCTTCCCTAACAGTGACATACAGATACTATTAATGTTGCAGAAGATTATGTAAATTTTTGATCACATGACGTACACTTGTGACCTACCAGAAGCTTCACTAAGAGAGATAATCATGAGATAGTTTGTGAATAATGCAGTTAGTGAATTATTACTGTTTATCACTCAATATTTTTATTTCAAATAATATTGATATTCATGATATATTGTTTCTTAACTGTACTTTGGTAAGTGTTGTTAGAGTTGAATAAATTGCTTTTTTTGTTGTTGAACCATGATTGTAGTGCCGTGTTTATTTTAGACCATTACAAACCAGCCAATACAAGTCCTCACACATGTGGTTGGTAGGAGCCTTCCTCCTACTGCAGACCAGACAAAAAATTCCAGATGATGCCTTGTTTTGGATTGGAGTTGACCCACCACAGTTGCATTCCCCCTTCCTAGTATTGCCCGAATGTCAGGTTCCCAGGTATCCTAGTGTTGGATGTGTAATGGGTCTGCACTTGTGGCACATCCATTTCCAAAGTTGGACTTGCATCATTCCTGCCTGGCTTGGCGACATGTATCTTTGCTGCAGGCAAAGAATATACCCTTGTACAGATGAGGTGCTATCTCCCACAAGTGTGATCCTATGTTCTATGGTATCATATTCCATGGGTTCTCTTCAGGTGCCTTCTAAGTAAATTTTGCACTGGCCCCTCCACCATTTCAATGTGGTATTCTATTAGGTGAGAGGAGGTAAGGTATTGTATCGGAAGTTAACATTTCCTAACACTGAAAATGTATTTCCAATAGATATATCCTCTCACACTTCCCAACCAAGTTCCCCACTTCCAGTGCACCTTTTCTTGCCTAATCTTGAAGTGATGAGTGTGATCTACAGTATAGAGGGAGTTAGCTGTGCTAGGAGGGTGTGTCCCATTCTTATTGGTGGAGGGTTTTTCCATGTTACAACGTAGCTATATCATGTGTAATCACATAAAGTTAGCTGGGGGCCTCAAAGCTAGTGGCTAGTGAGTATTTGTGCATATAGAAGGCAGCAAAAATTGAGGGAAGCTGTTATGTGAGTGGAGGAATCTGTCAGGAATGCATTTTTAATGTTAGAAACATTCAAGCAATTTTTCATTATGTTTTCCTCAAACTCATTTTGACAAGTCTAAGGTGTAGAAACTGAACAATAAACTGTGTTCGTTTGGATTTCTTTTGCTTTGGAATGCAATTTTGTTCCATTGAATGCCATTTAATGGCCTTAGAGTTATAGGAAGCATGTTGTTTATAAATACTTCTCAACAATAAGTTGAATCAGAAAGTCAAAGAATGTTTCTGCCTCAGAGCAATAGTTGGCTGCATCTTTCAACCTAAGATTCAGAGTGCATGCACTGCATATGCAAAAGTTCTTGGACTTAAATTTATAATACGTTTTTAAAGACAATTATTTTTTCCTTTCATGGTCTCTCAAATGCTATACTTCTGTCATCATAACAATTTCAATAATAGTGGCACCAGTGTTTTTCAGTAGCCAAAATCCAGTAACTGTGGCATGCTGAGTTCTCATTCTTATCTGTTCTATATGGCTTACAGTATGGGAAATAATTATAGAAATGATGTGGAAAATGGATATAAAACCATAATACTACAATAAAGCAGCCACTGTATTGTACAAAAGTGAGGTCATGCACATTAATAGTTTACATTGTGATTGATTCATGATGTTAGAAAAACACATAGGTTCAAGAAGTCTTGATAGAAATGAATAAAACCCTATAACCTGAGCACTTTCAAAAGGTGGACCTTTCTTCTGAACTTTAGAAAGGATTCAGGTTATAGGATTTTTATTAATTTCCATTGTGATTAATTGTCATACAACCAGTCAACAATTGTTATTCCAGTGTAAAGCCTATAAATGTATGGGCATGCCATACTATTCCCAACAGTAGTAGTAGTGATAGAAGTGGAAATCCAGTCATGACTATTAGGACTGAAATACCACATGTAGGAACCAAATTTTTGGCTGATCTAGGATACTCCATATAAAAAATTGGGATAAGACTCCTTGTTTCAGTAGGAGCTGTATGCAGGACTCTGAAGAGGGTTTGTGAAACTGGCATTATTAGTAGTAGAAATAGTTGTGGTAGAATTATGAAATTGTTTTAAATGTGTTGTTTATGAGATAAATGATGATCTAGTAAAGGTCTTGACAATACCTTGCTGTAAATACAGGTATGAATGCTACGTTGAGAACAATAAGATTAACACAAAATTGTCTCTGATAAAAGGTAATATCAAAACCAAAAGTTTTAAATGGGTATTAGACCACAAACTATGGCTTGTTTAATCAGGTGCAGATTTTCCATACTGATTGTTTGGTTAAATTTCACTGGAGATTGTATTTCTTTCTGCTGTTAAATGCTTCCAGATTATCTGGATGTTTCATATTTATCTAAAAGTGCTGATAAATTCAATGTACATGTGTTGTTTATATATGATAAATATATATCATCTAGACTAAATTATTGGTATATATTATGGTCTAATTAGATTCACTTTAGTCTATACTTTTTGGACAAATGATCAGTGTACATATACTTGGCAATTTATTAATCCACATTTAACTTAAAAACTCAAATTATTTTAGTAAATGTATCGACAGATTTATTTTAATAGGGTTGTGTTCTTTTCTCTGTTCAACTATATCTTTCACTCTTTTCCCTTCCCTAATAATAATAATTAAATTATTAGATAAGTGTTAACATAGATGTAACTTGTGTGCATTAACATATAAATTGAGTTAGAGGTTGGATGTATGATGCTTCCTGTTTGCACCTACTGATTAGCTTAAGCCTTCTTTTAGTTTTTAAACATTTTTTGCAGGAGGCTAATATATACACAAAAGATTAATAAAAGCTTCAGTTTATGCCTTTATATACATTTTATACAGTAATAACTAAGTCATGCACAATTCTAATATGAAGTTTAGCTAAAAGTTTTCTAGAATTCTGTGGCTCATGTAAAAGCTATTTAGTTCAGCCTTATATTATTGTTAATGCTCAATACTTCCACAAGTGATTCTTAACACAAGAGGATACTTAACCATTTTAAAATAAATCTGTTCATTTATGTTTATGTGTTAATAAAAAAATAAAAGAGAAGTTTCACAAGATATTAATAATTTTATCTTTTTATTATTATTTTCTTTTGTCCTTTCTCTACTTGTAGGACTATCAGCAGAGTACAGTAGTCACACTTCAAGTCTGAGACGTTCAAGTTGTAAGACAAGTAGTAAACCTCCTCCTCCTGTTCGCCGATCATCTACTTTGTCTACACCAACTCACAGGAAAAGTTCTCTTGGAACTGGTAAATCTTTTTCCTTTAGCTCACCAGTGTCATCACCAAAGTCAGTAAGACAGCAAACACTTAGCAGAGAAAAAGTGAGCAAATCAAGTTTTATCAAAATATCTGGGATGGATGGAGAAGGTCTGACTTCACCAGAAGAAGACTTCAACACTTCTCGTGCTCGACTTATACAGACATTGAATGCTAAGTTGTCCCAGCAACAGGAAACTTTTAAAGATTCACAGTCAAAAGCTGATTTTGGTAATTGTTACAGAAAGACATCAGATACCCACCTAGAGGAGCTAACACTTGCTTTGGAACAACAAAGAGTTAGTGACTCCCCATTATACAGAAGAAATTCTGCTGAAAATACCATTTTATCAAAAACAAGTGTTTGTAAAAATAATACTTCTGGTAGAATAAATGAGACAAAAAATCATAATTTAAGCTCTTCCAAAGATATGATTTCTCACACTTCTTCCCACAATTTGGATTCTACTGGTCATACAGAACCTTCTGACACACATGGTATCACCCTGACCCAGAAAGAGACATTAGTTCAAAACTTTAGTGTTGCTCTTGCTAACAAGCAAATAAATTCCCTTCACAGTGTACCTTCTGACAACAGTTTCACATCTATTGATCATGATGTCTTTCAATTTGATGTATTGCCTCAACAACATTCACCCTGTGATCCTACCAGTGAAAGGGAAAATCCCTTAAAGCAAAACTTCATTGAGGCCTTAAATGCCAAACTAGCACAAAAGCAAAAAACTGAGAAAAGAGGTTCTATTCAGGGACAGGTTCACCCTAAGGGTTTAGAGACCCATTCACCTCTACATGCTGCAAGATCTGAGATGATTCAACAACAGAAAAGTGAGAAACAAGGTTCAGTTCAAGGACATGTCTTGATAGATAACCTTTCAACTGTACATGATGTGAGATCTGAGATGGTCCAACTGCAAAAAAGTGAGAAACGAGGTTCAGTTCAAGGGCATTTCTCAATTGATGACCTTTCACCTCTACATGCTGTGCAGTCTAACATGGTTAAACAACGAAAAAGTGGGAAACAAAGCTCACTGCAGGCACAGGTTCAGCATCAAACTGTAGAGATCAATCAACCTCATCATGCTATGATGTCTGACTTTTTCCAGGAAAAAGGTGAAAGAAAAAGTTCCTTGCAGGGACTAGTTCATCATGAAAGTACTGAAGACCATTCACTCTGTCATGTCATTAGAGCTGGCACTGATATGCAAAAAAGAGAGACAACTAGAGCTTTTGGTGCTGGTCACCCATCTCAGACAGAAGCTGCAGCTAGAGTTCACTACTGGTTGTCAAAACGTGGATCTATTGACCTAAACACATGCCGAGAGTCCTTAATGAATCAGATTCGACAGGGGACAGCACTGAAAAAAGTGCCAACCAATGATCGCTCGGCACCACGTTTTTCATGACGCTTGCATGTGGTTTTCATCTGGCACATCTAGCCAGACAATTTTTTGTGTAGTAGTAGCTTATTCTTTATATAAATGTAATTCCCCTTAGGATCAGCATGTTTCCTAGTGGTGGGGCATCATGCCAAAGCAGAAATGCCATGTTTTCTGCTTGACTTGCTCCTGCCGAAATAGAAAACTCGCCTTTATCTCATTTTTCTCTTGAGCTCAAATTAGAGGATTATGATAATTAACAATTAGTAAAATCCAGGTTCTTTTTAAACTTGTACTTGTATATTTAATAAAAATAAGGTTTTGTATGGTTAGTTGTATAGATGAAAGCCACATCTGTTGTATCCATAGCTCTCAATCTGAAAAAACAAAAGAAATTTTTATCATGTAAGAATTTCTTCAGTCTTGTTTCATGTTTCCAGTAATGCTTCTATACCATATAGATGTAATTTTTTATTCTTCATAAAATGTTTATTCAGTTATATTATGTTCTTTTTAGAATTTTTCTGGATGACTGGACCTTTCTCTATCAAAGTACAGAAGAATATTACTAAATTTAACTAACTTTCAGAAATGTTAAGGCTGTTCAAGTTATTGTTTATTGTTAACTGTCTTTTCTTATATGTCATTTTTATTTACTAAACTTTAATAACATTATAAGAATATTCTTACACAAAGTTTTTATACATATAAAGTATTAGCTTTATCTCAATTAGTGCAAGCTGATGAAGAGATTTCCATTAAGTAAATTCTTTGTTTTTTTGTAATATGTAAGCAAAGGCTTCTAGTAAATTAAAACTTATCAAAAAGAGAACATAATATTTAACAGCATTGTGTTTTAGAAAAACTAAGCACATAAAAAATAATTTGTTGGTGTTTTTTACTCTATGACATGGCTGGCATGTTTACATGCCATAATTCTGCATGTACTGCTGTTGTAGATGTAACTTTAACTAATAATGGCTTCGTATTTCTGAAATGCTCTTAACAGGATAGACATTGACTAGTTTCTTTTGTGCTTATTCCCTTTCATGTATCCTACTATAAACTTAAAGAAAATATATAGATATATGCCTGTTATCTTTAAAATAGTCATAAGGCAGCAAAGTTATTCAAAAAGAATATTGTTCATTGTCAGAAAGGTTTGTGTTTATACTGAATGTAGAAAAAATGATCTATATATATAAGAAATCTTGGGGCCTGATAAGATGATATTAGGCAGGATCAAAAGAAATATTCTCTTACTGTGTACCATTTGAGAGAGTGTTTGCCCATTATATTACTTAATAATGAAAGTTTTCTTTATTAAAAACAAATTAATTTACATTCTGTATACATTTTGTAATAAGTAAAGCATTATCTGCTACACCAAAACTTACATTTAATTATTTAGTTTTAAGTTTATATCTTTTAACAGAACTAATTTTCTATATATTTTTCTTATACATATATTTGGCAAAACATTATTCATTTTTTCACGGTTCTTATGAGGGTCCTTATAAAAATTTTCTAAACAAATGGTAAATTAGAAAATACATTTTTATCCCTATTACTGTTTTTTAAAATTTTCATTGCTGACTGAAGGATAGGAATCATTATTTAATGAAGATGACAAACAACTTCAGAGAAATGTTTAATTACTTGTACCCGATGTTTCGGCTTACGTCTTTATCAAGAGTCTATGAACGTAACAGGTTACCAAACTGATTTTAAATGACAGTAACCGAAAACGATATACAGCTACAACAATATAATGGAAAATTGTACGTGATATGAGTATAGTCAAACAGTTTTGAGTCATTGATAATAAAAATAGAGAAAATGATAAGAATAACATAAAAATATATAAAATTATAATGATAAAATTAATAATAATGATAAAATGTTAAAGGGGCCAGGTATTGTACCTATTAATGGAAGGGTATCTGGATTGAATCAAAAGTGATTCCTTATATTTTCTGTTGAGAAAATTGTCACAAGTTTCAAAAATTTTGATTGTATAAGTCAGTGATTCCCAACCTGTGGTCCCCGGACCCCTGGGGGTCTGTGAAGATATTACCATCTCATTAAACAAGTAAGTTTTTTAATTCTGCTGTTCTTTTAATTGCACACTCAGTTACATATGTCTTTTATTTGATAGTGAAAAATGGAAAAACAAGTTAATTATTCATGGGGTTTGTGGGGAAAAAATAATAATGAAAGGGGGTCCTTAGTGGTGAAAAGGTTGGGAACCGCTAGTATAAGGTGTCCCATTGACTGCGCTGTGTTCTTTTAAGTAATGTTCAGCAGTAGCTTCTTTAATGGCTGGAGACGGCTTAAATGGGTAATGAAGAAAAACTTCAGTAGCTTCTTTGTTTCTTAGGTACAGTGCTTGGCCCCTTTAACATTTTATTATTATTATTAATTTTATCTATTTTTATATTATTATTATCATTTTCTCCATTTTTATGATCAACGACTCAAAACTGTTCGACTATACTCATATCATGTACACTTTTCCATTATATTGTTGTAGCTGTATTTCGTTTTTGGTTAATGGTATTCAAAATCACTTTGGTAACCTATGATGTTCATAGACCCTTGATAAAGGCGTAACCTGAAATGTCGTGTGCAAGTAATTAAACATTTCTCTGAAGTTGTTTGTCGTCTTCATTAAATAATCATTTCTATCCCTTTTAAATTTAACCCTCATAAATATACACACACGTAATGATTTACATTTGGTTTAGAATTAGTTTCTTGTACTAGTTCCAGAGTGTATTATACATTTGCCAAAGTTTAAAGTGAAAGGAAAAAACTTTTTATATTATAGTGTTTTGAAAATATTATACCAGGGTGAAGAAAATGATAGTTAACAAAATATCTTCTTTATGTTTTAATTTGATATGTGACAATTTTACAGAAACAAAAATAATGTAAATTTTTAACTTGTACTTTTCCAGGATGATTTTCTGCATAATATATATTTAGTAAATCATATGTTTTGTGAAAATGTTAAAAAAAGAAGCTAAATTGCAGGTATGACATATATATATATATATTGAGCATAATGTGATGTAGATCATTTAGTAATTTTTTTTAAGTTTTTGTTTCATCTTTGATGCCGGATCGGCATGATCTTGAATTCTTACTTTATTCCCTTTTATATTCTAATCTGGAACCGTGTACTAAAGGTTAATCACACTTATTAAGACCGGTGTTCTGGTCCCATGCTGACCGTGTAACTACTACTACTTCAGTTGTACTCAGTCTGATGGCCATGTTTATTGCTCAACACCACAAATTCCATTGTAACAAGCTTCTGCAAAAAAAGTGACAGGATCAATCTTGCACCACAAATCCTAAAAACATTCTGCAGATCCTCCAATGTATTTTAAAGTCAACTTCCAAGAACATGTTTAAGCATATCAAAGGTAGATAAAGTCATTGAATGCTTCTGGGAACTTGACAAACATGTTCAAAGAGGTTGTTGTAATTTCAGTTTGTTCAGACATATTTCCCGTAAAATCCCATTGGTTTCAAGGTGTGCTGGAAGAAGCTTGTGATCTTTTGTTAATTTATGTTGTTGAATCTAAGTTTCAAATGGACAGCAACTGCCTGTTGTAGAAACTTACAAATGTAGAAGATGACGTTTCGAAAGTCTTTTTGTCTTCAGGCGGAAGACTTTTGAAATGTCGTCCACTACATTTGTAGGTTTCTACAACAGGCAGTTGCTGTCCATTTGAAACGTCATCTTCTGCATTTGTAGGTTTCTACAACAGGCAGTTGCTGTCCATTTGAAACTTAGATTCATTATG